GCGCTCAAGGAGGGTGGCTGGTGATGCTCGGGGACTCCCGGATGAAAGACAACCGTCGTTCCCGGGTGCCTCTCCTGTCTTGGAGAAGCCAGGGGCTTCGTCGAGTGGTCTCGTCCACGCTCTCTGCGGAGACGTTGAGCCTCTCCGCGGCTCTCGCCGAGGGGCAGTGGCTCTGGCTCGTTTTCCGGGACGCTTTGTATCGGGATGTCTGGGGGCCCGAGTGGTGGGGCACAGCAGCGGCCTGCCCGTTCGCCGTGGCCATGGTAGACGAGCGTGCCATCGCCAAGGCCTCCGAGGGCGTCGCAGTCGTTGATGCGAAGTCGCTCTTCGACACGCTGTCGAACAGTGGAGGAGCCAAGGCAGACTGTCTGAATGCCATCGAGATGGCGATCGTCACGGGCGCTGCGATGGCCGATGGCACTGTCGCGCGTTGGGTTCTTCATTGCAGGATGCCAGCAGATAGCATGACCAAGATCGACCCAAGCCGGGGCAATTTTGCATTGACCGACCTGATGCACCGAGGAATGCTGGCGTTGATCGACGAGTCCGGTTCCCTGGGCGAGCGCTCTCTCAACCAAGCGTTGAAGTCGCGGACCCGCAACGTGTCTCGGAGAGCCTTGCAGTCGGAGGAATCCGAGGTGTCAGCAGCCAGCCCAGAGGTGGAGGAGGTCGAGGAGGCAGGAGGAGGAGGGCCGCGTGCCGCCAGGATTGCTTGGCGAGAGCCCGTGGAGGCGGAGGGAAATCCGAGCCCAGTGCCCTCCGATCCGACCAGGGGGCCGTCGGGAGCTCGGGGGGGAGGTGGGGAGGGCGGGCGTCGCCGCTAGGGCCCTCTTGGCCAGTTTCAAGGTGAGACCTCTTGGGGCACTAAAGTGGGGGGCGCTGTCTGATAGATTCCCATCTCCCATGTCCCAGGAGGTCCCCAGAGTTGTTTCAGTGAGTTTCCAATAGTATAGTCACGTTGCCGGGCGCATGCTTAGCATTCAAGAGTTTGCAGCCGCGTGGCCCAGGTGCGCGTTTCAGGAAAAGTAGCGGGTGGGATATCGACCCGCTCCCGCGTCGCCGTCCAGCCTCTCTCTGTTCCCCCGTTCCAAGACGGCCGTTCACACCTCCTCATCCTTGTCCTGTCCCTCCCCCCCTAGACCCCAATGTAGTTGATTGATGATCAGCGCAAGCAGGTTGACTCACGGAATTCGGGGCCCAAACTTCGTGGGAGTCCCAGGGGCCTCCGACATGGGTTCGTTGGATTCGGCTGCGCCGCGAAACTCCTCGGACAAGGCTGCGGTTCTAGCCTGTTTCTGTTGTGTGTCGTGGCGTGGGCGCAGGCGACTCATCGGTAACAGGGGCCGACCTGTGCGGCTTGGAGACGCGCGCCCCAGCCATCCCAGAAAATCCCAAACCTTTTGTTTTCAACGTCGAACCTCGACTTTTGGACGAGAGAAGCCTCCAGAGCTGGAGGATGAAGGAATTCAGAATCGAGGTCGAGGCTCTGCTTTGGAGGTTTTCGACCCCGTGATATCGATAGGCTGGCGCGCACCCCCCGAAGCACGTGAGCCCTGGTCCCTCGGAGGATCTAGTTGGCGAAGGCGTCTCGACAGGGACTGGCGCCCTGAGACGTGCCTCAGTAGGAATTGGCCCCTGGGGAGGCGTTTCGACGGGAGTTCCGGTGGGTGGACAAAAAGTGTCCACACCCATTGCGCCAATTTGATACGACATCGAACGGCGTCGAACAGTTACCCATGTAACCACATGTATATTGCAATTGTCGTTGCCATCATGCCTGATTGTCTTCACGCCGTCGGCGTGGACACTTTTTGTCTGGGCACCGTCGCGCTTCTGTGCTTTCCGTGGTGTCTAGGCTCCCGCTTGCCAGCACGACCAGTGCGATGGTGGCTTGAATTTGCAGGTTGGAAGTTTTTTGGCGGAGCCGTTTGTAACGGGTTGTAGGGTGGCCAGTACACGGGGTTTCTTTCTTAACCGAGGAAGCCGAAGAAAAACCGAGGGAAAACCAAAGCGAGGAAAAACCCAAACCGAGGAAAAACCCAACTGAGGAACATACGGGGAAATAAACAGAAGAGAGTCCACGGCTTGGTTTAGCTTTTTCTTTCGGTTTGTTTTTCATCGGTGTGGCTTTTTCCTCGGTTAGGGGGGGTCTCCCATCACACGCACGAAGGGGGGAGGATTGTGCCTGGACCCTACCACCCTATGCCCTCCCACCCGACCCTTCGTGCCTAGGGTCTCGGGCAAGGTGGTTCCTCGCGAGGGGGGGGGGAGGAGGAGGAGGAGGAGGAGGAGGAGGAGGAAGAGGAGGAGGAGGAGGAGGAGGAAGGAGGAGGAGGAGGAGGAGGAGGAGGAGGAGGAGAAGGAGGAGGAGGAGAAGGACGATGAGGGGGAGGCGATGTAAATTAGAGTGAGAGGGCTGAAACCGACGGTCATCCCGGGTCCATGGAGTGCGTGGCTGAAGTGGAATTCGCGATGCGGATTCTTTTGTTGTTGTTGTTGTGTTGTTGTTGTTGTGTGGTTGGTGTTGTTGGTGTTGTTGGTGTTGTTGTTGTTGTTGGATTGTGAGGGATTGTGATTGTGATTGTGATTGTTGTTTTGTTGTTGTTGTGTTGGTGTTGTGTTGGTGTTGTTGTTGTGTTGTGTGGTTTGTTGGGTGCTTGTGTGTTGTGTTGTTGTTGTGTGGTTGTTGGTTGTGGTGTTGTTGTTGTGTTTGTTGTTGTTGTTTGTGTTTGTTGTTTGTGTTTGTGTTGTGTTTGTTGTTTTGTGTTTGTTGTTGTTGTTTGTTGTTTGTTGTGTCGTCGTCCAACCCGCGACCCGCCCCGCGACACACCCGCGACCCAACTCCGCGACCCACCCCGCGGAACCCAACCCGAGACCCACCCCGCGACCCCACCCGCGACACACCCCGGACCCGTCCGCGACCCACCCCGAGACCCCTCCCGGACGACCCACCCGCTACCACCGGCGACCCACCCGCGACCACTCGCGACCCACCCGTGACCCACCCGCGACCCACCCCGCGACCCTCCGCGACCCACCCGCGACCCACCCGCGAACCACCGCGACCCACCCGCGACCCACCTGACACTCACCCCGCGACCCACCCAAAATTTTCGGCGCCTGCGGCAGGTTTCTTTTGCATTCGTTCCAGGTGGAGAACCTGCGACACACCAGCGACCCAAACCGCGTCCGCGACCCACCCGCGACCCACCGCGACCCACCCGCGACCCACCCGCGACGCACCCCGCGACCCACCCAAAATTTTCGGCGCCTGCGGCGGGCTTCTTTGGCATTCGTCCCAGGTGGAGAACCTGCGACCCACCCGCGACCCAATCCGCGTTCAGTGTACAAATCAAAATTGTCAGCGCCTGCGGCGGGCTGTTTTTGAATTCCTTCCAGGTGGAGGTGGAGAGCCCGCGACCCACCCGCAACCCAAACTACGTTCTTGAACAAGCCAAAACTTCGGCGCTTGCGGCGGGTTTCTTTTGCAGTCGTTCCAGGTGGAGAACCTGCGACCCAAACCGCATTCAGTGTACAAATCAAAATGTTCGGCGCCTGCGGCGGGCTGTTTTTGAATTTCTCCCAGGTGGAGGTGGAGAGCCCGCAACCCACCCGCGACCCAAGCTACGTTCACTGAACAAGCCAAAAATTCGGCGCCTGCGGCGAGCTGTTTTTGCGTTTGTTCCGGGTGGCCCACCAGCGATCCCCCCCGCGCTGAACTTGTCAGAGCACGCAAATCGGCGCCTGCGGCGGGCTTGCTCGCATTGCTTTGGGAAAGCGCCCTCGTGCCATTCCCCCCGTCCGGCCCACGTTGACTCTACAACAGCACATCGGCGCCTGCGGCGGGGCTGTGTCTGAACACGTCCATTGACAATCCAGCTGCCTACTGCAATTCGGCATCCGTGCCCAAAGCCTGGGTTCAGGGGAAGCTGCCTCAAGGCGCCCACAATTAAGGTGCCTCGGGGCGCTCAAGCACCCTCCTGAGGGGGGCGTCCACGAACCCTACCACACAGCACGCCAGCGCCGCACAAGCGCGGCGGCGGATTTTGCATGCCGTCTGAGCCCCCCAGGACCTCTTCAAGCTCCGCTCATCCACACCAACCCATCCAGCAACTTCACCCTGGCGAGTTGCCTGGACCAGAGAAATCGGGGAGCATTCAGTGGAACAAAGGATTGGTTTGCCGTTATCTTGATAAATAAGGGCGAGGCAGGGGAGTAAACAGGGGACGAGGAGGACGCGGAAGAAGAGAGGATGTAAGGAGAATGCGGAGAACGAGGAGGAGGAGGAGAAGGAGGAGGAAGAGGAGGAGGAGGAGGAGGAGGAGGAGGAGGAGGAGGGGGACGAGGAACATCAAGAGGTGCGAGGCGGAGCAGGCGAGACAGTCCGAGGGCCACCTGGCAGGCGAGACACCGGAGGGTCACGAGGTCCGCCGGCTCGACGCCCGCGTCGCCCGCGCCCGCCCCCTCACTCTTATCCGCAATTGCGGGGTGCTACGTATGGAGGTGAACTCTTCCTGCTCCTCGTCCTCCCCTCTGCTCCTTCATCAGTCCTTCCCCTTTCCTCCCCTGCTCCTACGCCGGCCCCCTTCGGGGGCCAGTATGTTTGGATCAGGGGGTGGCTGCGTCTCTGGCGTAGGCACACGGAGCCAGGTTCTTTGCGGCCCCTCTCTCCTCCCTCCCTCCTCCTCCTCCTCCTGCCTCTGTTTCTTGCTCACTCCCATTGTGTACTCCAGAAGGACGTCCGAGAGCAGAGCTTCCGAACACCTCCAGATTCGACGTCGGGCGAGAGGGGGCGACGGGGCAAAGGAGGGGCACGAAGTCTGCTGCGCGCACCTGATTTCGGCCTCGCCGCCAGGCGCTTTCCCCGAAACAACAGCGCCTCTGGCGCCGTGAGCCGTCGGGAAGCCCAGCTACGGCAGCTGATTCGCTAATCCCCCTCTGCAGCCCCCTCCCTTTTCTTCCGACCCGACAGGCTCCCTCGGAGATGGCGGGAAGGGCAGGACATGGCCAACCTCATGGGCGTGGGGGGCTCGGATGCCAGGCAGGGCCCCGCGGAGAAGAGACCATCCGTGGCCGCCAAGGTGCCGGAGTGCAAGGCGCGGCCTCTGCCGGAGACGGGAGGGCAGGGAGAGGATGGGTGGGTGGCGGGGGGGGGAAGGGAGGAGTCGGAGGAGGGGCAGTCACAACGACGGCGGCCCTCCCGTGCGTTTTTCGTCCTCTTCGGGCCTCCAGGAGGCTTCTCGATGCCACGGCTGGATCCGCCTCGAAAACTGGGTCAAGATGGACCTCAGGAGGGGTCCAGTGACTGATTCTGAGCGGTTTTAGGCCGGGTAGGATCGCCGCCGTTGCCTCAACTGGCCCTTTTTTGGAGGAGGAGGAGGAGGAGAAGGAGGAGGAGGAGGAGGAGGAGGAAGAGGAGGAGGAGGGAAAGGGGAGGAGGAAAGGGAGGAGGGGAGGAGGAAGGAGAGGAGGAGGAAGGGATGAGGAAATGGAGGAGGAACGAGAGGGGGAAAGGGAGGAGGAAAAGGAGGAGCAACGGGATGAGGAAAGGGAGGAGGAAAGGGAGGAGGAAAGGGAGGAGGAAAGGGAGGAGGAAAGGGAGGAGGAGAAGGAGGAGGAGGAGGAGGAGGAGGAGGGGGGAGCACGGGAGGGAAGGAGGCTTCTGGGAGCTCCGGACCCTTTACCCACCTGTTTTCCAAGTGTTCGGGGTCTTTCTCGGACGAGGGAAGACACACGCCTCCTTGCACTCCGATGGGGCGCCCGGCGGGTTGCCCAACCTGTTGTCCGACACCCATTCTTGGGTAGTCGAAGGCCAGCCGGTCAGTTTGGATTGAGGTGCCGGGGCCAATCTGGCATCAGTCTCCTATGAATTCCTTTCCGGCGCCAGTCCAGCGCAGCCTAGTCTGATGCTGACCTTTTCAATTTGGTTTTCTTGCCCGCCATCTTCTTTCGTGTGTATGGTTTGCGGCCGTCTGGCTGTATGGTTTGCGGCCGTCTGGCTGTCTGTGGAGCGTTTGCCGCTGAGCAATTGGCAATTGCTCAGCGGCAAACGCTCCACAAGACAGGCAAAACCAGAGACCCAGCCCCAGGTCAAACCTCAAATTGTAGCTTTCGTGAGCGTACCCCCCCGAGATGTGCACCATGCGCCCAGGAGGAGGCTGACGAATATCACAATTACGCTTAAGTAAGTCGAAACATGGTGAGCTCAGCCACTCGCCTTTCCTCGCGAGTGAGGTCGACCCCAAACAGCGCGAACGACTACGACCATCGTCTTTGAGACAGTGCTGCGACGCAAAGGAAGCGCAAGCACTCGCTCAGGGAGGACGCACAACTTGGGAGCTACGACGCTTTCGTCTAGAGCCCTCCTGCTTGGCAATCAGCTCCTCAGCCTGTACTGCTTATAGCGTGCTCTGCAATATACGCATGCGCACAACAAACGCCTTGTGCTCTACCTGTGCAATGCGCGCGCGAACAGCCTCTGGGAGACGGGCCTGATCTGCGCCCAGGCCCGCAAAAGTGTCGGCAACACTATTACCGAGGACGAGAAGGGGGTGCTTCGAGGTGCGAAGCTGCTCAGCATTCTGATGCGAGTGTACAAACAACACGGTGCAACAGACACTAAGCCTACTGCGCATGACCTCCCCGATTCGCCACCACAGATCTGCGTCATTACCGACGGGCTGGTCTCCACCGCTGGCTGTGCCAGCCATCAAAGACGGACGAATGATCTGTCACATATACTATATACCCCTGGCTCTCTCTCAAGGCTACCCACAGCGAATACAATTCTCCACGAGCAACAGTCTGACGAGGTCCTGGGAGGGACCCCCATATGCCAACCGTGAGTTCTATGGAGGGGTCGAGATGTTGATACGCTGCCAGCCCTAGACCGACTCGGCGCAGGTGGGGATGGTGCGTCTCCTTACCTCCGTTGGCGTCTCCGAAAACGAATACGGGGTTAGCAGCGGCCCCGCATCCAAAACTTACAAACTCATTGTCCGTACTGGTCCAGCTCTCGGTGCTACAAGGGGGAGGTATCGCGGTCCAACTCCGTGGGATCAAACCTCGAGTCCAAAAGCATTCCGCTGCCTCCCCGCACGCGTAAGCCTGCTGACTGAACTCGTCACTCATGGTATAGATTGGGTGTTCCCGCTTACCGTCGCACCCCCAAATACGATGAAAATTTGATTTTGGACAGTTCTGACATCTCGGGCATTCAGTGGAAATCGATTGCTTACACCTGGTCTGACGACGAAGACGTGGCCACGACGCTCCTGCTGCTGCTGCCAAGAGAAGTCCTGCTAGCCTCCGTCCTCCTGGTGCTTGCCCGAGTTGCCCGAACAACTTACGGAAATAATAATTGCCCACCCCGTCTTGCATTCCAGATCCTCCGAAGTGCTCCGAAGCGGCCCTCCAGAGTTGCTGCTGAATTGTGCCCTGGAACGCAGCGTAAAAAAAGCTTCTGGGGCGTCCACTGCCAGGTGTCCTGTGAGCGTTTCGAGCTTGAAATCCCAGCTGCTGGTATTATCTGGAATGCTCCATGACGAGGGGGTGTCGGGATGCCACCCTGCATTCAAAAGATAGTTGATCACGGCGCCCTGTGGACCTCGAATGTGTCGACAGCGACGGGCAGCAGACATGTCCCGAAACTCCTGGACCATGGTAGCCCACGTCCGCTGCGCCCCTGCTCGGATGCTAACCTGGGAGGCCCAAGACGCAATCCACATGCGAAGGGTGCTGATGGGGAGCTTGTAGGCGGGGTCCCTATCGGCTGCGCACAGATCCAGAACGGTAGTCAAACAACGCCCTTTGAGCAGTGGAACACATGAGTTGGCCAACTGGCGACGAACGTGAACCATCTGCCCACCCCAGACTCCGTGAAGCTGGTGGGCATATAATCCAGCTGACTGTGCCCCCTGCAACTCCAACCGCGAAGTCAATTTATAATTCCGAATCGTCCGTGCAAAAGCTGTGAGTTTGCGAGACATCTGCGTGTGCTTCTGTGTCCGACTGGGTGCGCGTCGCTCTGCTGTGCCGTCGACCTCCAGAAACATCGCCTCCGAGATATGCTGCCTGCGGTGCGAACTTCATTTTGAAACCAAAACCTCTTATCCGTCGAACAACTGTGCGAGCATCCTGCAGGTTATTACACATCACGACACTTTTGGGGGAGATCTGCAGCCCTGCTTCGGCGAAAGTGCGGCACGTTGTGAGCGAACGCGACGTGAGTTGCTTCCTCATGCCCATGCGAGATCCTTTACATGATTGACTGAGGTCGTCCACCCATAAGCGATGACCCATATTAGCATGTGCCGTGGTGATTTAAAACTCAATAAAATGCGTTGCGCATTTCCCAAAACGTGTTCCTGCCCTCAGACCCTGAACCATGGATCTGGTGGGGCAGAATGGCGGCCCATAGGCGCCGTCTTGCCGAACGCACCGAGAAACCATGCATTGTTGAAGTTCCAAAACCCAAAATTTCAGGCGGGAAATCTATTAATAATCCTGCGCTGCCGATGGCGAACCATCCCACGCTGTCGTAAAAGGAAGCCGCATCTACAAGTCCGTGTCCGTGCTCGGCTGCCAGACGCGCAGCTAGTTCCCCATCAACAGCTTTGATGGAAACTTCCCTGGCTGCAGCATTTCCGCGGATGGCCGCGTCCCAATGAGCTTCGCATTGATCGTGCCAAAGCTGCGCGTGATCCTCTCGGGCCTGAGACCAAGCCCGAGCGAAGAACGAGAGGAGGCCTATGACCCGATCGCCGCTGCTCTTTTTAGGGGGCAGCGTGTCTATAACCAATAAAACTTGATGCGGCCATACCTGATACCGTTCACAAAGTGCTAAAAGCGAAGCAAACTCCGCGATGGCTACGTCTGGTAGGCGGTCCACGTCAATACTGCACAAACGATCCACTCCCATGGCAGAAGATGCTCTCCTGCGGCGCAAAGCGGCTCGTATGTCCTCGACTTCCAGAGCTGGAAGTGGTGCACTTTGGATACGTTCACAAATATTTGCGAAGAGCTGCTCTAACTTCTCCAGATCTTGGCCTCGGGGCCCCATGATACCTCCCACTGCTCGGTCTTCTTCGCAAGAAGCTCGCGGGGATGTGCCATGGTGCGCTGGCCAACCTCGAACTCCTCAGGTCCCAGCGGCGTCTGACGAATATTGCGGTGCAAAGCTTTGGCAGCTGGTGCCGTCTCGCTCCGCACCCGAAACTGCGCCGAGGACTTACTGATGGCTCGATGCTGGCTCCGTCTGGCGATGCAATTCACGAAACCGACTGCCGCGGCGAGTGCTGCGCCTGGCTCTGCCTCCAGAGAACCTAGAAACAATTTCCACTCACTGCGCTTGAAATGATCGCGTGACCGGAGAGGGGTATGGCTACCTGCAGTACTTTAGCAAGCAAGTCACGGTTTGCCTGACGTAGATCCTCCAGCTGCTTACTTCCGTTGCCACGTCTCTTGTGCTGCTGGTAGCTGGTGACCACCGTAGATAAGCGAGTCCACCAGCCGCTGACTTTGTCTCTCAATGCTGCTGTGCGCTGAGGTTTCGACTGCTGTACTGCGCACAATCTGAAACTCGGCGCGAATCCCCGTGAAAGGGTGTGAGCTGGCAAGCCGTGGTGAGCGTGAACCGCTTCTTCCGCAGCCCTTACCCAACTACAGTAGAGTGTGCTGATGTATGGCGAAGCAAGGGCCCCGAGTCGAAAAGCTACGGAACGAGCAACAGCATCAGCAGAGGGGACAGGACAGGTTCGGAGAGAACCCGATATTTCTCCTGGCGTTCATCCAAGTCTCTTCTGATATGTTGAAATCAACCTGGGGGGGGGCCCTGAGCTCACCGACTGAGACTGGGACGGCGCCTCCTGGGCGTCTGTCGCAGGGGCATTAACCTCGGGGTTCGCTACGGGGTCCGAATTATCAGACTGAGAGTTTGCCTCGGCTGAAGCAGGCGCGGGCGCAGGTGCAGCAGGGGGCGGCGCGGCAGTTCCGAAGCTGGGCTCGTCGGCCCACGGGTCGTACTCGGAGAAGCCGTCCCAGTCGGAGTCGGGGGCTTCCTCGGTGACGTCGAGGCCTGTACCCTCGGCACCTGGCG